CACAGGTACTGTGGGGGTGACCCAGTGTGAGGGTGACACTGTGGGGGGTGACACAGGTGCTGTGGGGTGACCCAGTGTTGGGGTGACACTGTGAGTGTGACACTGTAGGGGTGACACAGGTACTGTGGGGGTGACCCAGTGTGAGGGTGACACTGTGGGGGGTGACACAGGTGCTGTGGGGTGACCCAATGTGAGGATGGCGCTGTGGGGGTGACACTATGGGGATGACCCAGTGTGAGGGTGACACTGTGATGACCCAGTGTCCCCTGTGGCTGCAGGTGGGGGATGGCACCACGTCCGTGACCCTGCTGGCAGCCGAGTTCCTGAAGCAGGTGAAGCCCTACGTGGAGGAGGGGCTCCATCCCCAGATCATCATCCGAGCCTTCCGCACGGCCACGCAGCTGGTGAGCCACGGGGGCTGGGGCAGGCACACCCTGCCAGGGAAAGGCACCTGGCACTGCCTGTGGGGACTGCCCACAGCCCTCTCCTGCTGCCAGTGCCCGCTGCCACCACTCTGTACCTCTGCAGTGCTTCCTTTGGGGCTCTTCCCAAGCAAGGAGGAATAAATGGAAAGCTCGTTTTCCATTCTCCTGTTCTCTGCCATCCTTTGTTGAGCCATGCTGGGCCCATTAAGCTGATTCTTGGAGGTTCATTCCCCAACAGCCCTTTGATTCCCAGGATCTCTGCTGAAAACAGAAACAGCAGAGCAGCTCTGAGCCTGCTCCTCATTTATTGGTGTATTCTTGGAATTACTGAGCTGGCAGGGGTGGAATAACTTCAACACTTGTAACTTCAGTTGGAGCAGAGAACAAAAGATACAAAGAGGGAGTTTGGAGCTGTCACCAGCTCAGGAACATAAATCATTAATCCAGCTGTTGCCTTTTTGCCAGGCTGTGAACAAGATCAAAGACATCGCTGTGTCTGTCAAGAAGGAGGATAAAGAGTAAGTTTCCCTTGGAGGTGACCTGTTTGTGTCCTGAGCTCCAGCTGTCAGGTGCTCCTGAATCCGGGCTCCAGGTGGCTCCTGGAGCTGCAGCCCCACAGTGGGGTCGTTCCCAACATCCCTGGAATTCCCTGCTCCCCCAGGGGCAGTGCTGTGCCCTCACTTGGCTGCAGGGGATGATGTAGGGCTGTGTCTCCCAGCGCTCAGGGAGGAAGCTGGGCACCAAAATAAGTGGCCTGATTTCTTTTTTGCAGCGGTGGAGTCTTGGAGCTCTTGCTGCAGTCAGTGGCAATGTTAAATCTCAGCACTTCCCTGAGGATCAGATCCCTTTTTAGCTGTCACACAGCAAGGTAGATAGCTCATAGCAGTGACCCCTTCAGCTGAGGTGAGAATACTGGAGTTCCTTTCCTCCCTGGATTTTAACCTCTTGTTTACTTGATCTTGCTAATACCTGCAGTTAATTTGAAGTATTTCAACTGCATAAGCATCTTGAATAAACCAAAACGGGCTGTCCAAACCCAAGTGCTAAAAAAAAAACGCTGGGAAAAATCCCAGATGTGATCCTGTGATGGGAAATAGAGTGGTTCCCACGGGGGACAGAGCCTGGCAGCTGGAGCCACACCTCCCACCCCCTGTGTGTCACCCCTGAGCTGCACAAGCATTACCTCAGTTAGTGCTTCAGGCAATCTGCTGCCTTTAGAGGCTCTCAGAAACACCTTCCTGCCTTGGCATGAGGGAAGGCACCTGTGATTTTGGGATTTTAGGAGCATAAAAACCCATCAGCCTCGTCAGGGCTGGGCTGCTGCTCCAGCTCTAAAGTGGAGACTGGGATTTGTCAGTCTGGGATTTGTCAGTCTGGGATTCTTCTCCCCATTGACAGGAGGGAGCTGATCTTTGCTTCTGACAGGATTTTGGGCTCCTCATGACAAGAAGCACCCTGAGAGGCTGGGAAGGGGCTGGAGAATTGCTGAGGGAGCTGGGAAGGGGCTGGAGAATTGCTGAGGGAGCTGGGAAGGGGCTGGAGGCTGGAGCAAAGGAGGCTCAGGGGGAATTTCTGGCTCTGCACAAGTCCCTGGCAGGAGGGGACAGCCGGGGGGGATTTGGGATCTGCTCGCAGGGAACAGGGACAGGAGGAGAGGGAACGGCCTCAGGGCAGCTCAGGGTGGATTTTGGGAATATTCCTCCATTGAAAAGGCAGGGGTGGAGTGGAGTGCCCATCCTTGGGGAGATTTCACAGCCCCTGGATGTGGCACTCAGGGACATGGTGCAGTGGTGGCCTGAGCAGTGTTGGACTGAATGATCTTAAAGGTGTTTTCCAGCCTAAACCTGTGTTTGGGGTTTGTGAAAAGATCTGGCAGGTGACCAAACCTTTGTTTCTCCTTTCCTGCAGTGAGCAGAGGAGTCTCCTGGAAAAGTGTGCAGCCACAGCCCTGAGCTCCAAGCTCATCTCCCAGAGCAAGGAGTTCTTCTCCAAGATGGTTGTCGATGCTGTGATGATGTTGGACGACTTGCTGCAGCTCAAGATGATTGGGATAAAGAAGGTGCAAGGAGGAGCTTTGGAAGTAAGTGTTGGAGCCTTCCTGAAGGGCTGGGGGACAGAAATCCCAGCTCTGGGGCTGCCTTGGCTCTAGCAGAAGTGCAGCCTGGCTTGACAGTGCCTGTTGGGGAATAAATTCCCAAAGTGGAACCAAGCTGTTGGTGTGAGGAGGAAGCTTGGCAGATGGGGCTGGGTGTCTTTTCCATAGGTAGGGGTTGTGGTTTTTGAGATAAATATACTCTTCACCTCACTGCAGCAGAAGCTGTACCTGATAAAATTCCATTTATCTCACCACAAATATTTTATTTCTCTTTTTTTGGTGGGAAATCTTTGTTATTTCTGGATCCAAAAGTCCTGGTTGTATGTAGAATGACTGGGTTGGGAAAAATGCAAGGAAGACCTCATGATGCTGATTATTGGTGGGCAGGGCAGGTGGGAGGTGTGGCTGGAAAAGCTGTTGTGCCTGGGATACGGGGCAGGGGATTGGTCCTGGCTGTGGGACAGCCCCTGGGGAGAGGGAGATTCAGATCCTGACTTCTTCACCCAGGAGATGGAGGAGCTGCTGCCAGGGAATGGTGTTGGACAGGGCTCTCCTGCTGCAGAAAATCCAGCAGGTGGTGATGGAACTTGGAAAGACAAATCAGAGCAAAAACCAGCCCCCAGTGGGGCTGTGAATGAGAAACATCCAAAAGTTCAAAGGGGAGGAATGGGAAAGAGATCAGGCAGAGAACTGATCGCTCCTCTCCTTGATCTTCGAGATGTGTGAGGAGTTTTTGGCTGTGGAGTTTTGAGGGCTAGAGAGGAAACTGCTTTTGTGAGCTGAAAGAAATCCTTGCTGCTCATTTCCTCCAAAAGTGGGTTAATCAAAGGAGACAGTGCTTCATTTGTAAATGAGGCCTCTGGAAGCAGGGAGTGTCCTGTGGGAGTTGTTATTAACCGGGTGCAGAAAGCCTCAGGAGCTGAGCCTGAGGCAGATCCCTGTGTTCCAGGACTCCCAGCTGGTGGCTGGAGTTGCCTTTAAGAAAACTTTCTCCTACGCTGGGTTTGAGATGCAGCCCAAGAAGTACCAGTCCCCCAAAATCGCCCTGCTCAACGTGGAGCTGGAGCTGAAAGCTGAGAAGGACAACGCCGAGGTCAGAGTCAACACGGTGGAGGTAAGAGCCACAGATAAGAGTCACAGGTAAGAGCCTGGCCTGGCTCCCTGGCCCTGGCACACCTGGGGCTGCTCATCCCCCGGGGAGAGATGAGATGAGATGAGATGGGAGGGCTGGAGCTAGGCTGGGAGGGCTGGGAATGTTCCCCTGGAGAAGGGGAGGCTCCAGGGGGAGCTCAGAGCCCCTTGCAGGGCCTGGAGGGGCTCCAGGAGAGCTGGAGAGGGACTGGGGACAAGGGATGGAGGGACAGGACACAGGGAATGGCTCCCAGTGCCAGAGGGCAGGGCTGGATGGGATCTTTGGAAGGAATTCCTGGCAGAGAGGGTGCTGAGGCCCTGGCACAGGTGCCCAGAGCAGCTGGGGCTGCCCCTGGATCCCTGGCAGTGCCCAAGGTGAGATGGGGTGGGGTGGAAGGTGTCCCTGCCCATGGCAGGGGTGGCACTGGATGACCTGTAAAAGGTCCCTTCCCACCCAAAGCATCCCATGATGAAGGGGTTTGCCTTCTGCCCACGTTTGGAAGCGCCTGGTGGGCTGTGCTGCCCTTGGGAATCCCAGCAGGTTCAGGACACGTTTGTGGCCCCAGCTGTGCTGAGCCAGCAGCTCAGTGCCGAGTGGCCTCGCAGGGTCAGCTTGTGCAGCAGGTTTGGGGTGCTGCAGGAGCCCCTGAGGGTCAGCAGGCGTTGGGCAGTGCTGCAGAGCTGCTCTGGGCCAGGGCTGCACGTGTGGCACCCCTGGCACAGGGACACCTGTCCCTCTCCCCTCCTGCCAGGATTACCAGGCCATCGTGGATGCAGAGTGGAACATCCTGTACGACAAACTGGACAAAATCCACAAGTCAGGGGCCAAGGTGGTGCTGTCCAAGCTGCCCATCGGGGACGTGGCCACCCAGTACTTCGCAGACAGGGACATGTTCTGTGCCGGCCGCGTCCCGGAGGAGGATCTCAAGAGGACCATGATGGTGAGAGCTGGCCTGGCCTGCAGGAAAGGCTTTGTTCTCAGCTCTGACAGCCCAGGCTGGGCACAGCTGCTCGCTGATCTCACTGCTCCTCAGGGGGATTTGAAAGGACAAAGCTGTTCCTGGTGGGATGAACAGTACCACACTGCCAGCGTGGTGGGACATGGAAAGATCTGATCAGTGCATCAATGGAGGTTTATTTTCCTGAGTTCTTCCCTGTTCCATCATGAGTGTTTTTTTCCGAGCTTTCAGTGTGTATCTCCTGGCCTCTGGAGCCTGTGAGTCAGCACCTTGAAGCTGTATAACCTTATTTTCCTGCCGAGGGTTGGTCTGGGTCTGAGGAGAGGGAGGGAAAAGGGTTTTCCTGAATCTGCAGGATGTGTTTGCAGCAGCTCAGCAGCTGGGCTGTCCCTGAAGAGCAGAGCCTGCAGGGAGGTTGGTGTGGATTGTCAGCACTGGTCATTTGTGTGTCTCCATTCCCTGCAGGCCTGTGGGGGATCCATCCAGACCAGTGTCAACGCCCTGTCAGATGATGTGCTGGGCCACTGTGAGCTCTTTGAGGAGACCCAGATTGGGGGAGAGAGGTAAAAACCCCAGCTGCAAACCTGTAATGCTCTGCAAGCCCTCTCAGAGCAGGTGGAGAAGGTGGGGTCAAAGCATTGGCAGGGTCAGCATCTCTCAAGCTGTTGAGATGAAAACAAGGTTGCTCCAAAATGTCTATTTTATTATAGCCAGAATTGAGGCTTTTTGAGGCTGAGGGAGGGGGCAGGAGCAAGATTTTATTGAGTTCAAACCTCTTGTAAATGCTGTTAAAATCCACGTTTATTCTGCAGTGCCGTGTGAAAGGCACAGAGGTACTGTTGCGTTTGTAATGGGAAACCAGCACATTTTGGGGCTGATTGTGGCACTCCTGTGATGGCCCAGCTTGACACTCCCAGGTGAAGCTGGGGACAGCTCCTGTTGCTGGAGGAGCAGTCCTGTTTGGGGCTGGCTGCTGCCCTCCTGGGAGCAGCAGTTCAGTGTCAATCCCTGGCAACAGGAAGAGGATGGATTTTCCTGGGTCAGCTGGAATTTCACTTCGGTGTTCCCTGGCTCGGCTCCTCCTCAGCCTGGGATCCTCTGTGAGGGCTGTGAGGCTGCAGGGTTGGCTCTGTTCCCACACTGCCTGTGCAGCTGCAGTAGCTTCTCCTCCACACCACACACTCCCTCTGGCAGGTACAACTTCTTCACGGGCTGCCCCAAGGCCAAGACGTGCACCATCATCCTGCGCGGGGGCGCCGAGCAGTTCATGGAGGAGACGGAGCGCTCGCTGCACGATGCCATCATGATCGTCAGGAGAGCCATCAAGGTGAGCCCTCGTGGTGGTCAGGAGAGCCATCAGGGTGAGCCCTCATGGTCAGGAGAGCCATCAAGGTGAGCCCTCATGGTCAGGAGAGCCATCAAGGTGAGCCCTCATGGTTGTCAGGAGAGCCATCAAGGTGAGCCCTCATTATGGTCAGGAGAGCCATCAGGGTGAGCCCTCGTGATGGTCAGGAGAGCCATCAGGGTGAGCCCTCATGGTCAGGAGAGCCATCATGATCGTCAGGAGAGCCATCAAGGTGAGCCCTCGTGGTGGTCAGGAGAGCCATCAAGGTGAGCCCTCATTATGGTCAGGAGAGCCATCAAGGTGAGCCCTCGTGGTGGTCAGGAGAGCTATCAAGGTGAGCCCTTATGGTCAGGAGAGCCATCAGGGTGAGCCCTCATTATGGTCAGGAGAGCCATCAGGGTGAGCCCTCGTGATGGTCAGGAGAGCCATCAGGGTGAGCCCTCGTGGTCAGGAGAGCCATCAAGGTGAGCCCTCATGGTGGTCAGGAGAGCCATCAAGGTGAGCCCTCCTGATGGTCAGGAGAGCCATCAGGGTGAGCCATCATAAAGGTCAGGAGAGCCATCAAGGTGAGCCATCATGATCGTCAGAAGAGCCATCAGGGTGAGCCCTCATAGTGGTCAGGAGAGCCATCAAGGTGAGCCCTCATGATGGTCAGGAGAGCCATCAAGGTGAGCCCTCATGGTCAGGAGAGCCATCAAGGTGAGCTATCATGGTGGTCAGGAGAGCCATCAAGGTGAGCTATCATGATGGTCAGGAGAGCCATCAAGGTGAGCCCTCGTGGTGGTCAGGAGAGCCATCAAGGTGAGCTATCATGATCGTCAGGAGAGCCATCAGGGTGAGCCCTGAGCTCCCCTGCCCTGCCAGGACATTGGCACAGCCACAGCTGCTGAGAGCTCCTCACGCCCCAGGCCGTGCTCAGGGCTCTGGACACTGAGCAGCATCTCCTGGCCTGACTCAGGTGTGGTTCCTTGGTGGTGTTTCCAGCTGCTTTCCAGGCATTCCTGCACTTCTGGACAGCTGGAGCTCGTGGAGCTCCATCCTCCCCCCTGAAGGGAGCAATCTGGCTGTGCTGGGTGGATCTTCAGGAGATTGCACAGCAGATTGATGGCACGTGTGTGTCCACACCCATAAAGCCACTTGAGCCCTCTCTTGGTGTCCCCTCTGAGGGCACGACAGTCCCCTGGCTCTGAGGGCAGGCTGGGGGCACCACAGAAAGTCCAGGGCCTCTCTGGGTGGGTGTTTGGTCCTGGGTGGCACTGCCAAGCTCTGGGTGTTGCTGGAGGAGTGGCTTCTGGTGGAAGCAGCTCTGAGGCTGCATGTCCTGAGGGCTGGGGAGAAGCACATCAGGAATTTTGATCTCCTGAAGAAACAGCTGCAAGGTGCCACTGCCAGTTTCTTTAGTTTTGGATGCCTCTTGGAAGCGAGGGAAGTGTCCCTGGCCCGAGGTGGCTGTGAGCTGCCATCCCTCCCTTTGGGTGGGTGCGGTGTCCCCAGCCCTGCTTTGTCCTGTGCTCAGCTGGGCTGAGCTGCTGGAGCTGCCCTTGGTGCATCCCTGTGGTGCTGTCAGAGGGTCCCAGAGGCTGCAGGACCTGACAGAGCCCTGACAGCCCTGACACAGCCCTGACTGAGCCCTGACACAGCCCTGACATGTCTGACACAGCCCTGACAGCCCTGAAAGCACCTGACACAGCCCTGACACATCTGACACACCCTGACACATCTGACACAGCCCTGACACATCTGACACAGCCCTGACACATCTGACACACCCTGACACATCTGACACAGCCCTGACACATCTGACACACCCTGACACATCTGACACAGCCCTGACACACCCTGACACATGTGACACAGCTCTGTCTGAGCCCTGACAGCCCTGCTGCTCTGCTGTGTCCCTGCAGAATGACTCGGTGGTGGCAGGTGGCGGGGCCATCGAGATGGAGCTCTCCAAGTACCTTCGGGACTACTCACGCACCATCCCGGGCAAGCAGCAGCTGCTGATTGGAGCCTACGCCAAGGCCCTGGAGATCATCCCCCGGCAGCTCTGCGACAACGCCGGCTTCGACGCCACCAACATCCTCAACAAGCTGCGAGCTAAGCACGCCCAGGTACGGCCCTGGGCTCCCAGGGTTCCTCTCCTGGAGCCCATCAGGGCTGGTGTGTGCAGCTCAGCCATGTCCCCAAGGGTCCCAGGGTTCCTCTCCTGGAGCCCATCAGGGCTGGTGTGTGCAGCTCAGCCATGTCCCCAAGGGTCCCAGGGTTCCTCTCCTGGAGCCCATCAGGGCTGGTGTGTGCAGCTCAGCCAGCTCAGCCATGTCCCCAAGGGTCCCAGGGTTCCTCTCCTGGGGCCCATCAGGGCTGGTGTGTGCAGCTCAGCCGTGTCCCCAGGGCTCCCAGGGTTCCTCAGAGCCCATCAGAGCCGGTGTGTGCAGCTCACCTGTGTCTCCAGGGGTCTCAGGGTTCCTCTCCTGGAGCCCATCAGGGCTGGTGTGTGCAGCTCAGCCGTGTCCCCAAGGGTCCCAGGGTTCCTCAGAGCCCATCAGGGGTGGTGTGTGCAGCTCAGCCAGCTCAGCCGTGTGGGAGCTGTGTCCCCAGGGGTCTTAGGGTTCCTCTCTCCTGGGGCCTGTCAGAGCCTGAGTGTGCAGCTCAGTCATCTCGGCTGTGTCCCCAGGGGTCCCAGGGTTCCTGTGTCCTAAAGCTGCCTCCTGGAATCTGTCAGAGCTGGTGTGTGCAGCTCAGCCAGCTCAGCTGTGTGGGAGCTGTGTCTCCAGGGGTCCCAGGGTTCCTCAGAGCCCATCAGGGCTGGTGTGTGCAGCTCAGCCGTGTCCCCAGGGGTCCCAGGGTTCCTCAGAGCCGGTGTGTGCAGCTCAGCCGTGTCCCCAGGGGTCTCAGGGTTCCTCAGAGCCGGTGTGTGCACCTCAGCCGTGTCCCCAGCCAGCTCAGCCGTGTCCCCTTTGGTTAAATGCCCTGTTTGTGTCACATCACAGCACCTGTTTGTGTGGGCCTGGCACGGGCTGCTAGAAATGGAGAGGAGCTGTGTTCCTCTGATCCCAGCTGGCTGCTGACAGCCTGAGCTGTGGTTTGCTCTCAGAAGAGCAGTTTGTCAGGAAGGTGCTGCTGTGTTGAGCATTGAAGGAAGCAGAGTGCAGGGATGGGCTGAGCCGAGTGTTTTACACAGAGCTGCAGGCTGGAGGTCCTGAGTGCTGATCCTGGGGACATCCCAGCTCCAGTGCCGGGAGATTGTCCCTTGGATTCTGTCACCCCCAGCACCTTTCACCCTGCTGCTGATGGTGGGGCCCAAAGGGAGGGTGCAGAACCTGGGCAGTGAGGCAGGAGCACAGGGACACTCAGAGCTGTGGGACAGCACAGGGACACTCAGAGCTGTGGGACAGGAGCACAGGGACACTCAGAGCTGTGGGGCAGGAGCACAGGGACACTCAGAGCTGTGGGACAGGAGCACAGGGACACTCAGAGCTGTGGGGCAGGAGCACAGGGACACTCAGAGCTGTGAGACTCCCACGGCTGCAGGGCAGGGGATGCCCAGGGAGGTTTGGAGTGCCTGTCCCAGGAGGTGGCACTCAGGGCTGGGGACAGGTGGGGCACAGGCTGGGCTGGATGCTCTGGGAGGGCTTCTCCAGCCTCGGGGACTCTGTGATGCTGAACTGGAGCGAGCCTGCTCTGAGAAGGCATCAGTGGCTCTGGTGGCTGAAAGCAAAGACTGCTCACTTTGTGTTTCTGTGCTTTCCTCACACTTTGTGTTTCTGTTCCTTCCTCACACGTTTCCTTCACAGCGGAACACGAGGGTGACTCCGGCCTCTCCCTTCACCTTTGCCACCCAACCCCATGACCTTTGTCCCCCTTGTCCCCCCTGTCCCCCAGGGTGGGATGTGGCACTGACCCCTGTGTCCCTGTGTCCCCAGGGTGGGATGTGGCACTGACCCCTGTGTCCCCAGGGTGGGATGTGGCACTGACCCCTGTCCCTGTGTCCCCAGGGCGGGATGTGGCCCTGACCCCTGTGTCCCCAGGGCGGGATGTGGCACTGACCCCTGTGTCCCCAGGGCGGGATGTGGCACTGACCCCTGTCCCTGTGTCCCCAGGGCGGGATGTGGCACTGACCCCTGTCCCTGTGTCCC